AGTTGTTTAGAGTTATCTTTAATCATATTTGTTGCTTTCCTCTGTTTTTTTCCCCCTTCCAGTTTAACATCTTTCCTGAAGTGTGGTGCCCAGAACTTTTGAGTTGAGGTCTCCTTTGGGCAATAAAGGCCAGGTCTGGATGGCCAAACCCATCCCTCCTGTGCTCCATGTATGATGCCCTTCCTACATCCTGGTGCGCGCTGTCTGCTTTCTGCATGCCAGCATATCTCTAAAGTGTCTGACCTACTAAAGCCCCAAAAGGGGGCTTTAAAGCTTCTTTGATTGGTGGGCAGTCTCCAGTAGAATAGTGTGGGATCCTGTCCTCCTGCCCCATAACGCTTTCTGTGGGTCACTGAAGCGAACACTGTTTGATCATACTTTACTATATCCCCCTCCCTTGCATTACAGATCTCTACTTTTTTTTTTCCAAAGTAAGACTACATAGAATCAGACAGGAGGAGAAGAGAATTCCGTGCACACACGTGCACACTCCCACATGCACCAGCGCTGCAGTGTTCCCATGGCTCAGGGCCCAGCCTTTCTATGAAGTCGCTGTGAGCATTCTGGGTATTGATATGCAAATGAGCCCAGCAGGCCTTCCACTTTATTAAGCAGTGCCCTCCAAATCCAGCGCTGCTGCTGCGCCATGGCGCTTTCTCAGCTGGAGGAAGGTTTAGCTGGGTCAAGTGTGCAGCCAAATCAAAGGACAGAAATTATGCACGGTGAAATAATGCAGCTCTGAATGACATTGTACGATAGCTGTGGCCACTTAAGTACTTCACAGCTGTCATTGTATTGCACGCCATGGCCACCCAGAACTTCCCACTGGCAGCAGGGACAAAATCCAGATCTTTCTGCTCCACTAGTACAGGCCCCTGAGTTGGAATCGCCGTTGCTAGGAATATATGGCCTATGACAGGCCTAGTAGAGAAATTGTGGTTCAGCCTTGTGGTCCCCAAATGATTATCTAGACCACCGTTAAATGGATGGCATAAAAGTCAGTGGCGAATTCTGTTAGCCTAAAGACTGTAGGATCAGGCCTGTCATTATTATACAGGATTGAAATGGCTCATGGCATTATCAGACTATAAAAAAATGTT